ATAGTTAAATAAAAACCTTACATTTTATTTAAAATTTTGATTATAAAATTATTTGTATCTTGAATAAAAAAGTACTCCTTTTATCATTAACAAATTATCTGTGAATTATGAACAACATTTAATAAATTTATGTGAATTAAATTGTATTAAAGTCAAATGTTGACAAAATTATTCGTACATATGCTGTATTCAGTTTTTTACTTACGTATTACGCATTTTAAGCGGGAATATAAAAAAACGTGACCGTGACATAAACGTGCCAAGATAGTTACGAATGAACGGTTATGACCTCGATTATTGGATTTTACAATTGGTATTTTAAATGCGACCTGAGTCACCTCGATACTTTCTCAGTAGTACTTTTACTCGAAGGCTTATATAACATCTCATTAATTTTTAGTACATAGTGATAGTTTTTAACATGGATTTTCTATCGTCTACGATAACATCAATTATGGTAGATCGCTACGTTAATTTTTCTGATTATTGCTCATGAAGAACTACCAATAATTTAGCTTTCATTCCTCAAACTCTTAGGAAGCATGGGAGCACGATCAAATTATTCTTAATAAACGAAAGTTATGATGTAATTACACCATATCGAGTCGAGAAACCTATAGAGAGTCTTTTCTCACGATAGGCGGTGACTCTCTAATTGAAGGCAAGACAAAGAGAAAATGTAAATTAAACTTACGATTAGATTACATAATCATCACATTTGATTAATAAATGGTGAAAGTAATAAAAGCATTAAGAAATTCATCGAAGCATAAAAAAGCTTTAAATTAAGTTAACTAAGAATTAATTAAATTAAATCAATTGATAAATGACTTTATGTTAAATGAAAAAATTGGAAACAAGATTAACGTTTAATGTTATAAAATTGATTTGGTCTAAGATTCGATTGTATCGCGATGATGAATGAATTGGCAGAAACATCAAAGTTAATAGAATGTAAATAGATATAATCTCGCTGTAATTGATATCTGATTATCAGTAGTCAAGGAGTAATCATGTCTCAATTATCAAAGCACCAATTAATCTATCAAGAAAATAATTGCTGTAATATTATAGTTCGAAATCCAGCTTTACACGAAAAGTGTATTCCAGTATTATTCTATTAGTATTTTTATAGGATTACACAAACACATTCGATTCGTACTATTCGTGATTATTTTCACTTTCTTGATTATATAGTCGGACAATGGAAATCAAGAAATTAAAAAAAAGGAAAACCATAATTAAGAGAACGCCAATTAAAGAGAATGGAGGAACAGCTTGGCGAGATGTACTTTATAAATTTTCCAGTGGAACAAGGGTATTTTTTTTTTTTTTTTTTTTTAATTACAAATCTAATATTTAGTTGGCATCGAACGAGTGGACTTTTCCCGTTGATAATAGAGACGTCGCGGGAAGTGAGAAAGTTTCCGCATCCTCGAGAGACCATCTCCGCCAAGATGACCCTCCAGAAAATGTTAATGAGAACTCGCGGGAAGGGGGGGGGGAGGGGGGCTGCGGGATGTGCGAACGCGTCGATTGCCTCGCGGCGACCGCACATTTTCCTTGCGATTTCACTTTCTCCGATGTGGCATAATTGCGCGTGTTACGAATCGTAATACCCGATTCCGCGCGCCGGTCGCTCATGTAACGCAATCGCGCGATCGTGTTCATTTCAACAATGTAGGACCCGCGAACCTGTCAACCACCTCTTACGCGCGCGTGTACGCACGCGTGTGAGCACGCGCGCAGTATGCTCTATCGGCATTTTAACAAATCACGTAACAAGATAATAGATAGTTCGGATTGAGTCTCTATCTTTTCGAGAGGGACGACACGTGATAAATTTTCACTCCGAAAACCGATCGACGCGAATTGTTTTGGTTTTTCTCACGCGCCACTTCGCGATATCCAAACCGCGAATGGATCGCGATTCGGATAATCTTTTCGAGTTTGAAGTTTCCACGACATATCACATACAGGAATTTTGTCGAATGCACCCGCGTACAGGCGTAGCGTATTTGAAGAGACGATGCAAGATAATGAGATAGAACTTTCTCATTTGCGGAAAGTCGAGAGTTCCTTTCCCGTGAATAAGTAAATTTGTTTTCGAAGAGTGTCCCTCCGCATTTCATAACGTGTGTGTTAATGCCGAAATTGGATGTCAGGTTTAATGAAAAAAATTTACTTAAGAGATGAGAGATAATAATATTAATCAATGATAGAGCCTAACTTTAAGGATTTCTTTCTTCTATAACGGCAATTGGTATATTAAACATATAATTTACTTCTATTCTTTACAATTTCATTTTACATAGATTATGTATGTTCTTCCTTACTGATAAATTGAATTATTCGCTCGTTGGAAACGCCTATGTAGACAATTAAAATAGTTATTTAATCTTCAAAGTTTTTCTAGCAAATTTCTTGTTTTTCGTTGTTACATTTTATTTTGTACATATATCTTATGACGGATGTATCGTTGAAAAATCGGCAAATGTGTGCGATATTTAATGCACAATGTTTTCTCTATTTCCCATATGTTACATTAGAATTTCTTTACAAATAGACTTACTCTATAGCCTTATATGCTGAGTTATTTATGTAAACATCGAAGAGTTTATTCTTTACATTATATATATATCCTCTCACCCTCCCCCACACACACATACACAATATATAATAAGATTAAATGCCAATATGATTATAATAATTATAATAAATTAATATATATTATAATAATTATAATTTATTATAACAATTATAATAATTATAATAAATTATAATAAATATAATTATAATAATAACACATATTTTAAAATATTTATTAGCAGTAATAAATTATGATTATCATAATATTACAATTTCAATTTTAGCTACATATTGTCAAGATTGACAAATCGTGTAATTTGCAGAATTGAAAAGATGTATTAAATTTACGAAAAATTTTATGTTAGGAATAGACTGTCACATATGTTAATATGAAATAATTATCAATAAGTAAATAAATATCATATCGATAATAGTTTTCTTATGGCTTTTATCTCTTATTTATTTATTATTGATTTAAATCTCAGAAACCTTAACAATTTATTTGTATTTATCATATGAAAGTATATTCTTTTAAACGTAACAAATAAATCGTCATCTACTATCGCGTGGAATAATTTGTTTAATCTATAATGCCGTCAGATGCTATCTCGAAATTAATTTCGAACACGGAGAACAAACCCTTTCGGAATGCGAAATATGCGTATAAAGAAATGATCGAAACACGAACGGCGCAAAATTAAAACTAAGAAAGAAATAGAGAGAAGAAAGTATATTTTATGAAAAAAGTCAATTTTTACAAAAGAATTAAGTTATTATTCTATTTTACAGTTGAAGACAAATGAAATAAAGTTATAAAGTGTGTTATCGATCTCTCATGTACCTTAAATCTTTTTAATTAGGATAGCTCTTTCTCCGCGATATCTTTTCTCTCTTTAGTCTATCTTTAAAAATTGACAAGTCACGTAGTATATAATATATAATTATTATATCTTTTCGTTCGACGATTTGACGAAAGGCAGGTGGGCACGTTTCTTCTATCTCGTTTGAAGTTCGCTTTCTTTCCCATGCTGCTGCTTGTCCTTGGTGCTGTTGGCATTGATGAAAAATATTTTCTTCCAAGTGTCGGGAAACTGGACAGTCATGATCGCGTATATTATGGGATTATAGCAGATGGAAGATTTCGCAAGGAGAGCTGGCAGCACCGCTACGATACGAGAGGTTTGTACCTGTAATCATATACGTGCGAATCACCTTTCATAAGCCATAATCCTTCACAGTTTAGTGGGGAGAAATTAATCGAGCCGTTAAAAAGTTATCGGCGTATCGATCATTAGATCCTGATACGGCCAGTCAATCACGGAGAAGGTCGTTTGATCTCGTCGATTGGACAAAACGATTTTGTCGCTTAAATACGAATGTTGCAATAGCAATCTCTTGTTTATTTATGTCGCACGAGCGCAACAGGTCTGGAATTACTGATTGATTTGCGAATTCGTAATAATTGAATGAAAACTAGCTTTGCAGTAGCTTTATAAGTTCTTTAAAGTATTGGAAAGACTTACGTAAAAATATTGAGTTGCGAGTGCAAGAATGGCATACGGCGACCAGGCAATTAGGAAAGCAAGGATCATTAAGTACACCATTTTAGTGACTTTCTTCTCCCGTCTATTTTTCGAACCTGGAACAAGAAGTAATCAAGAATAACAATATTGTTAATGAAAAATGAATTCCATTAGAAGTCAGTTGGAAATGCCTTATGAAATAAAGTATTTGTCTATTAATTTTTTTAATTTTATTCGTTCGTTTTTTTCGAATGAAATTTTTCAATTTTTTCTTTTTTTTTTCTTTTAGCTGAGTTTGTGTTCAATATCTTAGATAGAAAAAAATTATGCTTAACTTTCGAACAATTAATGAAACTTAAAATTGAAAAAGAGTTATTTACCGATTCTTTTCCTTATTTTCTTCAAATTTTTTATCATGCCGCAGTAACAACTAATGATTATTATGACAGGCAAGAAGAATCCCACGACGAATAAAAATCCGATGTAAGAATCGTTGTGCATTTCAGGGTCATGTAACTCCCAGGATACACTGCAGGATATGTTACCTGCCTCTGGGCCATAACTCCCCCAATTGAAAAATGGCGGTAATGATAAGGAGAGCGCATATATCCAAACAAAACATGCCAATATGTAAGCATGTCTACAACAATTTTTAAGAATAAGTGATTAGTTAAAGACAATTTATAAGGGACATTAAATATATTATTAACGTTATTATAGAAAAAGTAGTTCAATTTAGTCAAGTCAAATTCTATATTTTCACTTTTCTCTTATGTCACACTTGCAACATGCTTGCGTCAATCATAGAGCTTTAAAAAAAAAATGAAACATATAAAATATAGGAAAACAAAAAACCATGAGAAAAGTGCAAATATGAAATTCCTCTATTTTAACATTTTTCCATACATTTTGCATACATTTTGAATATTTCTGATACAAAAGCGGAAATTCACGCACAATGCGTTGTTTACGTACAGTGCAATTCCATATGGAAATAAAAGCGTGTACAGTAATACAATATACGGATTGTTTGACGTTTAATTAAAATTAATTTAATTACATTAACGAGATAATTAATTATGTCAATATAGTAATATATATAATGCTACTAAAATATAAATAAATATTAGTAATATTAATTCAATTGCAAATATCAGTAACATTAATTCAATTGTAACTACTGTTCTGATGAATTATTGTATTGCATATAAATACTAAAATAAAAATTTTTGAGTCGCAATTGAATATCTCATATTCATAAATAAATTATTACAAATATCTTTTTTATTCGTTTCATTCTTTTATAACGTGTTTAAATTTTAATTTTTATATTTGGTATTATCGTCACATTTAAATATATTTATTATTATACGCGTTAATTATTACAATGTAAATAGTAATTATACTTCTAATAATCCTTTTTGTTAATCTCGTAGTGGAGTTCTAATTTTTTAGAAAAATCACGGTTAACTCATTAGTAAAATCATGGATTTGTTAAAGCGGATTGCAAATCTACTCTTTTACTTAGTTATACTATCACTTTTCATGCGTAAAATGAGATTTTCTAGATAACAAGGAGATCATTTTTAAGCCATCGTTAATTGCTGGTTAAGGATCTGAGAAATAATAAATGACCTTGAAACAATGTCAAGACGGTGATATTGCATTTTTTTATATTAAAATATATATTAGACGCTAATCCGTTATGATGTCCTTGGCTAATAAATGCTTAACACCGTGACATCGATTGACATTTTATCGAAATGATTTATACGCTTATTTACGTTGTTTAACATGCGCGAATTGTATGTAGGTAATTTTACGATCGTAAAGAAACTAATTGTAAGATTCTTATGCACGCCGCGTTTCACAATGTAGCACTATGTAGTCTTAACGTTCCTTTGTCATTTGAACATGTTGCGTTACTTGTGCCCATCTTTCGTCCGTGGCATACGACAAGAGAAAAGGGAGAGTGTAATGCAATTAAAATTCATCGCAAACCCGTGCAAATTACGTTTTGAAGGTGATAATGATCACACACAAATGTGATGAGTAACGTCGTTTCCCGGAGAACATGGCGATGAAAGTGTGCGATAGAAAGTCGAAAAATGCGCAAATTATTCATTTCACCGCATCTACAGTGTTTGTAATCATAATTGTTATGTATTGCTGTGAAAAATAAAAAATTGTTCTTCGAAAATTTCAACAATGAAAACGAAAACATTTTTGACACGTATTTCGTATACGTTAACCCTAATTTTATAAATAGAAATTTTTTTTTTAGTAAAGTTCTACATATTTTCTCACTAAATATTGATTTATTAATATGTGATATATTAATCTTTATTTGGAAATAAACTTTTCTATCATTCAAGCATTTAAAATATTTAAGATCGACAATTGTTTACCTTATCGATAATGTTTTCATCGGACATGTGACCAATAAGAATCTCTCCATTGCCATCACTGTCAGACTACCGATACTGGCAAATCCCATAGTAGTCATAAACCATGCATACCTAAAGAATAGATCTGATTATTATAATAAATATATATGAATTGAATAATTCAGTAGAATATCTTATAGCGTAATTTATTCACGAATTTATCTCACGCGAGTTCGTTATATTAAAACTTTTTATAATAATTCGATGAAAGGATTACATGTTATTAAAACTTTATCCGGTTACGTGTTCAAAAATCAAACTTATCAAATGTATTTTTTATGAATTTCTCAATTTTAATTCTACAGCACATAATCGATTTATAACTTCATCAGTTTTATTTCTTTCTTTACTTTTCTCATGAAATTGATCTAAATCTAGTTTCTCCAAGAAGCGCATATAATAATATTATTTACATAGATTTAATTTTTTTATATTTCAATATAGAATAGAACAAAATAGAATTTATTCACTCTTCAGCCAAGAAGGGGACTTGGTTTACAATATAAAATCCTTATCCCTATTTCATTCCTCTCTCATTCTTTCACCTTATTCTCTAACTTACTCTAATCTCACTATAAGCTCCTTTATATCATTTCTCGCTTTCAAAATACAACGCTATGCAATACATAACAATACAAGACAATATAATTCTACCTGCTTCTCCGTTTTGTACCTTACATTTAATACTTGTTTATATTCCAATATATTTAAATGGTAAATAAATCTTATTTTATAATATTAGTAAACATGAATTTTTTTTATAAATCCATTATTTTAGGCACATGACACAAGAAAATAATTTATTCACGCACATGTGCATATATACTTTAAACATATGATAAGTTTCTTTTTAATTTTAAATTTATCATTGAGCCGAAAAATTCTTGTTGACATTCCAGAATGAAATATTTGCGGACACATTTTTTGTAACATCTGAGTAGCTAAGCCGATTAAAAATGATGAAAAATATCGCAAGTAAGTCTGAATAATTAATCTTTTGACATTTAGATTCTTCCCGTTTCAATTTGATTTGTCTTTGATGTTTTGATTCTTATGAACAACCACGCGAATGCTTTTATCGATTGTAAAATTTATGTGATTTATGTGCACATTGTTAAGATTTTTATTGCAAATAAATTTTATTATTAAAAACAATAAAATGTAATAAAAATAAAAATGTTCTTTTTGATGAACGATATTATTCTACATTATTTATTTATAAAATAATAATGATATATATATACCACAAACATGTCTCATGACTCCAAAACCAGGTACCTGCAATTGCCGATGTCATTGCGAAAGGATTTCCCAGCGCAGCTACTAAGAAATCTCCAACCTGTCATAGTAAATATGTCAAGTATTAAAATACATATCTTGAAATTGTTTGCACTGAGCGGTATAAAGTTTAATTATGCATTTTAAAGTTGCTACCTCTTTTTCTATTTCATCTTAAGATGGCAAATTGAATACTTTGCATTATTTTTCAGTCAGAGATACATATTATTTATTATCAAATGTACTTTACTTTCTTAATATTTATAAAAATTAATGAAGAGACGTATTCAAAGAAGAAAAGTTTGATCGAAAATTGACTACTTTAAAATTCATCTATTCAAAGTCATCAGAAGTTATGATTGACTTGGATCAATATGTAATTTCTGTCTCATATCACTATCTTGAATTGTAATAGGCGCTCTAGAGAATTAGTCTCTGAAGTAATTCAATAGAATAAACAAATAATATGAAATTTCATGAAATATGTCAAATTAAAACTTAAAATTAGATTTAAAAAAAAAACTAAAAATTTGTATATTATTTGAAACATAAATTTAAAAAAACAATCAATCTTTTTATGAGAATTTACTTATTCTTTTCTATTTGTTCTCTTCCTAAGAAATGTATTTTTATGTTTGAATTAATATCCCTTTATGATTTCACTATTTTGCGAACTTGAGTTTTATTATTGGACAACGATTATAAAGATATTATTTATCATCGGAGTAACAACGTTGTTTTTGTAAGCTTGAAACACGTTTAAACTCGAATACGTTTATCCGATTTGAACAAAAATTTATAAATTATAGCAAAAGTATGAAAAAAATATGATATACATGTATTCAGAATCTGTCACAGTTTCTAACAATATTCAGTTGAATAGAATATCATCTGTTATTTAATAGAATTTCTAATAAAATTTCATATTTTTTTCATGTTTATACAATTAGTGAAGTTTTAAATGTTTTCTATATGTCAATTCCAGTAACATTGGAGAAACTTCTTAACTGTATGATGAAATATAATTATCTGTCACATAAATCAAAATGTTTTATGATCTTTTTTATTTTCATTTTCTAACTGAATAATCTGACATTTTGAAATATGTATATTTTTAAGACATACAAATCTGCAAGTAAATAATATATTTGTATTTTATTTATCTATGTTTCTTCCGTGAAAATTGCATATAATGACAATTTATATAATGAACAAAAACAAATTTATATAATAAACAAAATATTTTTTTTAAAAGTTAATAAGGTGGCAAAAATATAATGTGTGAAAATGTTTTTTATTTGATATATACGTTATATTTTATCATATTATATTTTATTTGCAAAATTTTTAACGATCTTACAAATAAAATAAATTAGTAACTTAAAACATTAAAAATAAAATATATAAACAATTATCATAAAAAATATAAATTATAAAAGCTAAATTTATAATTATATAATCAAACATTTTATTTTTTAAAATATTTACTTTTTTGTCTTAAATACGAATAATTTCCTAAAACTTTCTTTTGCAGAAAAATTATATAATTAAACTATTATATATTTAAAATTCTAATTACGTACTTAATTAATCATACTATGTAGAAAAAAATATAAACGTATATGAAAATATTTAATATTCGTATTTTATTGTAGTATTATATATTTACTATCATATTACTCGAAGATCTAACATTATTGATCCGTCGTATTTGCTTAATTGAGTATCCATTTCATCTTCATTTTCTTATGGCAGATTTATCCATTTATTTTATCAACAAGTTTGTTTTTATAATTATTATAACGTCATAATTATTTCATAATTATTTTTTTCATCATTTTTATCTCATAATTATGTCATAATTATTTTTAAATACAATACATCTCTGAGAACTCTACTAAGTTTGCAAAATTATATCGTTATCCATTCATATATATCTTATAAGCTACTTTGTATTTTTATAAATACGATTATATTTAAGTCGATAAGGATTATAAATAAATTTATATAAAATATTACAATCAAATTCCAATTAAAAAATTGGAATGAATTAATATAAATCATTATTTATATTTTTATAATACATTAAAAATATTAGATATTTTCCATATTTAATAAAACTGTTATTATAATAACAATTTTTAATTCTAAATAAAGAAAGAATTTATATTGCGAAAAATATCATCCCATGCTTCTGCCCAATGCTAAATATCATGTCTGTCAACAATTGAATTAGTAAGGACACTCAGCTTGAATAATAATGGGATTCAGGTTTGAATTCTGGGGTTGCAGTAATATTTTTTGCAATATAAATTCCTCGAGAGGTTTTCAACGATATTAAAGTGATTATCGATTTATTAAGGGAAATATATTATTCTGGTTTTAAACCGATTTTAGGCCATTATATTTCAAGTCCATAAAATTACAACACGTAGTTAGTGATAAAAGAAAATATTATTGAATTTTTATAAATTAAAAAAATTATCAAACATTAAGATTCAGCTTTGACCAAGAAATATCTTTATTACTATTTCTGTGTTTAAACACGTTTTCGATTTATACACGACTTACGTAATTCACTTTTATTCCTTAATTTTCAAAGAATTATTTGAGTAACAAAAAAAATTTTTAAATGGAAATTGAAATAATAATCATATGTCTTTTAAAGTCCATTTGTTTGATTAATCAGATATAACTTTTAATCTTCAATTTTGAAATTACATTATGAATTCCTCTAGTTTGCTTAACTTTATGGAGTTATAACATGAAAGAGTTACATAACGAAATTTTATTGATCTTAAAACTTTCCAAGTTTTAAAGTACATGTGAAAATTTTATTTGAAATAAAGTTATTATAAAAGATAATGTCAAGTTTCAAGTATATTTGACAATATGCAGTTCACTATCGGTTTTAAAATTGAAAGAATAAGAAAAGAAAGAAGTGAATGAACGAGCGAGCGAGAGAAAGAGAAAAAGAGAAAAATAATGATTTGTCCCTCACTATTTTCTCGAGAGAAAATAAACGTGTATTTTATTAAAAAATTTACGAAAGAAAGATGGCTAGATTTAGCCACAATTTATATTGCATTCATAAAATTCGTGAAATTTTTCTGTGTTTTGTAACCAAAGTGAAAATTGAAAAATTTGATGTCCGTCAATTCAGGAAATTATTTAACGGAAAATAAAATAATAAAATGCCGACATTGTTATACTTAGTATTGTCGCATTGCGACATTTAATATTATCTGAATAAACGATCAGATTTCTCTCATAATTGTGGCCGCAAGAATATAAAGCTAGATTACCTACATCAAATACGAAATAGGTGTTAATTTCATCACAATGTGATCACAATGTGAATCACATAACGCAGAAATTCATTCATTTTTATACTGCTTTAAAATATCCAACAGAATTGATTACCATTTCAAATATTATCATTTACGTATTGCCATGGGGCAATGTGTTTTTGCTACGAAGTCTCACGTTGATACATGTAAAATTAAAATGAACAGTGATTTTAATTGTAACATAAATGTTTGCTTTTGTAGCTCTTCTATATTATATGTCTATATTTATGTTTTGTTTTACGGATTATTCTGGAAAAATATATGGGAATAATAACAAAGACAAATTTTGTCTTTTATTATGAATTTATTAAAAACCTTTGAACTTTCACAATACTTTTTTATTAAAAAAAATCTTTTTAGAATATTTATAATTAAAGTCAATAAAATTTCATCTAATTTTTTATTTATTTGACTACGATATAAATTTATGGAAAATATTGAACTAATATATTAATGTACGTGTGTATGTTTCAAGGTATTGAATAAAAAAAAATTACATTTTTTTAAAGAAAACTAAATATAAATTTGATAGAAACATTGCTATATATATCGCTGCTTGAGTCTCTAATCTTTTTTAAACAATCCATATATAAACATGTCGTATTAAAAGTTTTACAATCTTTCTGGATGATTCACATAAATATATATATATATAAATCAAATTTATTAGACGCAAAAGATTGCAAATTATTATTATTACATTTTGGTATTTGCAGAGATTAATCGTTATTTGCAAAATAAATTCAACAGTTAAAATAGAGATACTCACGACCATATTGACGAGAATCACATTGTTAGGCGTCCACAATACATTGGCGTTCTTAATAACCGTTATTATGACCAGCAGATTCAAAATAAAACCGAAAAACCGATGAAGCCTAGTACGATCGTCGCAAAAATGTAAATATTAGTTGACGTCCATTCTTCAAGGATGAAAACGTCATTCGGCAGATCGGCGCTCAAATTCAACAGCATACTTCCTGTCGTCGAACGGAACTTCCGTTCCACGACAGTAGCGAGAAGTACGAGACTCGACTGACGAAGGAACGGCAGAATCAACGCGGGAATTTATTTCGTTTGTGAAAATAGCTCGAGGAAAAGATACGAGCGATAACGAACGCGACGGAACCGTCCTGGTCGCATTAATCAAAACCAGTGGCTGTATTTCAAAATCAGGCTACCCTTATATAAAGCTCAGTCAGCTGCTCTTGCCACACACCCCTCCGGCCACCCCGTTCTTGGATAACCAATCCCCAACTGCGTGAAAAAGTAGGGTCATGCGCGCGGGTCATCGGCGTTGCGTTCTGACACTAAGTCTTTTAGAGTAATATATAAGGTCTAGATTTAGAGCAATTTATAAGGTTTATTTTGATGGGATAAAGAACATTTTTCAATACTCGCAATCTTTGAAATCGATTTTAATAATCCTAAAATCTCCATCAACCATTTTTAAGTTCGTTTTTTATCATTTTTTAATTTCAGCTAATCGACATTGTGGTGAAACAAAATTTATCAATATACAGATAGTTAAATCGCAATTTAATCTATTATTTTAATTAAGTAACATATATGAAGAATATTTATGTAAAAAAATGTATAATAAACCGAGCCGATATAATTTCTTGTTCCTCCATTTATATAAAAAAAAATCTACAATAAAGATCCACATAAATCTTTCATGAGGATGAAATCGCGATCGAAAAACTATAAATTGGAAATTGCAATTTTCATTGACAAATAGCTACACGACTTTTTTAACTAAAACTGTAATTACTCATATAGTTTAATTTCTCAATTTAATTTACTTTTTGTCTATCTGCAATTCTAGGAACTACTTCTTGCTTGCAAAAAAAAAAACAAAGTTAAATTGTGATTAAAGTTAATTAATATGAAATTAGCCTATAATTTTCGATATACGTAAGAAATTTGATCCAAAGATTCAAAATCTTGTCTGGCAGAATATTTCTCTTTGTGTTTTAGGTACACGATTTGATACTGCCACTTGTGCAAACAATGGATCTTCGTAGAGATGAAATTCTACCTGTTTTGCTCAAGTTACAAGATACAATGTCATCTTGTAAAATAATTGTCATTTTTCAGGACAATACAGCATTTCTTAATTCCTCACGTATTCTAATTGATTTTGCGATCTGCGTCATAGTGAATAGAATAGAATTTTATTTAGCGAATAGCCAAAAAGGGACTTGGTTTACATTATATCCTTAATCATACATTCATCCGCAGCTTTCATTCACACTCTCTTATATTTACATATCTTGTATCTCTTATCATTTTTATACAATTTTACTCCTTTCCTTTAGACTACCTCTGTTCCCGGTTTATACAATGTCTTAATTTACAAAGGTCTATATATATATATATATATATATATATATATATT